AGGTCACACTTGCAGGTTTACTTCATTTTAATGAAATGAACTGTATCCCTGAAAAATTTAATAACACATTTTATAAATCAAATTCTATTCCCTTTGGCTTCTTGTAATTTCAGAAACAGTTTTCCATAATTTCTAATTGACTTTTAACTGGCAATAGTTCTTAATTTAATCTTTAAATTTCTTTTTTCCTCTTGCCAAGATTTTATATTAATGTTCTGTAAAACAATTAAGGCCCCAAGGGCAGCCCCTATCTTAATCTTAACAGAAAAACTATTATTTTGTCATTTGTAAAACGTTTTACAGTTTTCCTATAACACATGAACACCTTCGAATATCTCTTTTTTTAACATTAGATTTCCAGATGATTTTTTTCAAAGTAGGATATGACTTTATTTCAGGGTGTGTGTATACGTGTGTGTGTGTGTGTGTGTGCGTGTGCGAGCGCGCGCACTCACGCGTGAACACAGCTTTTTCTTAATGTAACTCATAAGCTCTTGTTCTCTAACATGGTGTTCTGTTTATATGCTGAGGGAGGCTTTCAGATCCAGATGTGTATCTTGAGAGCTGGAACTTCTGGAATGGCCTCATCTTCTGCCTGGTGTGACTCACCTTGCCTGCTAAGCTCCTCCTCCTCATCCATTAGCCCTTGCCACTCAAAGTGCGGCTGGGGGGTCGGCCTCACCTGGGAGCTGGCTACTCAGCTCAGATGGCAGATCAGAGTCAGCTCTGCAGTGTACCCTGCATTCAAAAGCACTATTTTAAAATTCATGCATGTCCCCTGGGCTGGGGCACTAAGTAGGTGTTCAGTAAACCATAGTTTCCTTTTTTATCACCTTCCCACGAAGCTGGTCCCTTCTCTGTGTTTTTACATCACAGTTTATTGTCTTCTGAAATCATGTATCAGGATTGCACAGATGACCGTTGGCTTCTAATTGATCAGTTGCTGGGTTCTATATCAGAATCACTTTTTATGTCCCCATTTCAGAACTGCTGAATCAGAATCTTTGAGGGTGAGGCCCAAAGTTTACATTTTATCTAACTCCCTGGTTCTCTGTACACACAATTGGAGAGCCAAGAGCCCCTGCATTGTCCCATGTGCTATCCCAAGATAAGGCAAGGGTTAATGGTGAGAGACTGAATCATAGAAATGAAATGGATTTCATTCATTTAACAAAAAAGTATTGGGAGCTAACAAGGTCCTAGATACTTTGCAAAAAATATCTAAACACATCATAAAAACAACAAAGTAATCAATATTTGTGAGATGCCTAATAGTTTAAAAAGCACTCTTATATTTGTCATCTTAGCTCTGCAAGGCAAACAGTGTCCACGGAGCTGGGACTCAGAGCTGGGCCTTTGCGTAACCAGCCTGGGGCCGCTCCTGTGCTCCTGGCCCTGTCAGCCCAGCGTGTGCGAGCTGTGACAGGGGCGGGGGAGCTAGGCGATCCTGGTGGTTAACTGCATGGGGAGCTGGGGAGGGCTTCACAGAGGAGGGCCCGTCTCTGTTGGGTGGCAGTACCCCAACACTCATTTGGGGAGAAGATAGGATAAGTGCACTTTTCTCTGCAGATGTGTCTGCCTCCCACGGCAGGACTCGGGGGGCATTTTGTTCCTACAGTTCAGACTGTTTGGGGTTCCCACCAAGGCTGAAATAAGCAGACCTTGGCCTTTCAGAGGGTCACTGGGATGGAATGAAAAGTGACCCACCCTCATGAGGGGGGATTTGAGCCACAGCTGGAGACAGCAGAATGCTTACAGGACAGCTGTGTAGGAAAGCAGTGACCCCTGAAAATGTGACAGGGCCACCATTCTGTGCATCTCACTGCCCATGAAAGTCCCTAATTCAGTCCTGGTCCTAGGAGACACCCCAGGAAATCTGTCTTTCCTTGACATAAACTTTAGCCCAGACCGACTCTAAATCGTGTCCTCTAAAACTTCTTATTCTCCCATGATGTTGCCCCTAAAATTGAGTCTTTTCCAGCCACTCTCAAAGTGCCTGTTAGCTGATTCTCACCTGCGTCACCCAGGGCAGGACGACCACCAGGGAAGCGCCTGTGGTGTCCACATTCACATTCCATGAATTGCGTGTGCATGGCGATGGCTAGTATGCTGAATTCCCCAGCAGTTTGTAATAACCAGATGCTTACAGCATTAGCAGAATCCTGACATGGACAGTTTTCCAGCCATGATATCAGTGTTTGCCAAAATCAAAGTAAGAAAATGATCATATTTACTCATGGAGAACTTACACAGGAAGATTATCCATCGCAACTGTCGAGCCCTTTTCCAAACATGCAGCGGAGGCTGGACTTCACTGCGAACATGCCAAGTGGCCCAGTGGATCAGTCTTCTCTCAGCTCACTGCACACCCCACTGAGGCATGGCTGTGGTGCCAGGGCTTTCTGTCCCGCAGCGGTACCTTGCAAGCAAGCGTTTATTGATCGAATCTGTTCTCTGCTCCTAAGGCAGAAGGATACCCTTGAAGGAGCCACAAGAGCTCTCCTGCTGTCAGAGCTCACTTCATCCAGCACTTGTTGAGCACCTGCTGTGTTCTAGGCAGCATTCTAGGCACTGGGGATTCTGCAACGAATGAAAATACAGCCCCTGACCCCAACACTTATGTTCTAGAGGGGAGCCTAGGAGGGAATGAAAAGCTAGTTAGGTCTTCTAGGGGAAGAGGAGTAAGAAGTGGGCAGGAAAAGGCTGGATGGAGGGGACGGGGGCCATTCTGGCAGGAAGCCAAGACAGGTGGTAGAGGTGGGATTTGAGGGTTGGGGGCTCTGACAGCTGAGCCCCGGGGGCCATGGACCATCAGATGCTACCCCTCATTTCCACGCTGCATTCTCCCACCTCTGATGCACTCCCCTTTATGGTCTCAGGTTAGGAGACTGTCATCACGAGGAGCCAGACACCGACTGCCAGCTGTCTGCACCTTTCAGTAGTGGTGACCTCCCAAGCCCCAGCTACTTGGGGAACAGGGATGCAACCTCTGAGCCAGCTGCATGCCGCCCCCTAGTGGCTGAATTTCTGAAGCTCTCTTAAGTGTGCCCAAGCTTGTCTTTTCTCAAGGGCGTGGAAACAGGGCTGAGCTGGGCAAAGTGAACACACATGGTTGCCCTGTGCTGCATCACTCTGCATCCACCTGCTCCCCACAAGGCCTGGGGCTTGCGCATACCGGCCTTTTCTCATCGTGCACAGTATTTAGGACATCTGCTTCCATCCTTTCTTTTAATATCAATGCTAGGCGTAGAGAAAAACATATACTGACTTGTTCATATTAAAGTGTTAATGACTTAGCTTAAGGATATGCACGTCCCTAGACATGTGTATTTTAAGGAAGTTTCAGCACCACTGATTCCCACCAGTAGCTTTTAACCATGCAGATAAGGAAGGTGGAAACAGGAAATCTCACATCTATCCACCTCAGGGACCACTGAGCCCTATAACGAAAGCAGACCCTTTGTTGGCCATCACTGACCCATACACTACCATCCTTTTACACCATATCCCCATATCCGTCTGCCACCTAACTTCCATTGGACATTAGAAAACTAAATCCCAATGATGCCATGAAATGGCCCAAATTCCAAAGCATGCACATTTTTCTAAAAGCACCTCTCCATGTGTGCACACTCTCTTTTTCACACACACACGTGCACTCACTGCACACACGCACACCTACACACGTGGCCCAGCCTCAAATGAATATGATGCTTTTCTCTCACACCCGGAATTTCCTTAGAGTATCAATGGTGACATTGTAAGCACTTCCGTGGACTCCGCACAGGCACTGCTGAGGGAGGCCAAGGTGAGACCCCTGCTCACTTACAGCGCCGCAGCACAGAATTTAGGGCAGGTCAAAGCACGGACATAATAGCTGGGCTGGGCCACCCAAGGACACTGTCTGGGTGCTTGTCTGGGTTGGTGTCGCCACCCCAGCCTGACTCTCAGGTATCTGTGGAGAGCTTCTGAGTCCACACAATGTGAAACTAAGGGGAGAAGCTCCTTCAGAGCCAAGGATCTACTGGATTTAGGGCATCAGATGAACCCCCTTGCTGGTTGTCCCTCCTGCAGGTGGCCATTTAGGGTGGTTGGAGGGAGTCATCCGTGGGAACCGGGAATGATTTCTGGACCTGGAGAGGGGTCTGGATGTCCTGATGGGAGGACATTGAGACAGGCTTCATTTTGTAAGGGCAGATCCTTCCGATTATTTCATGGGTTTTCTATGTGAGGAACCATGTCCTGAATGTTGTCACATCCCTTAAGGTGGGAGAGCTGGCCTGCCCGGTAAGATTTCACCATGGTATTGCCCAGTGACGGAATTCAGGGCCTGGGGGTGATGTTACCCTCACCAGGAGGCCACCCTCAGCTCTGGGACAGCCCTCTTCCCTGGCCTGCTCATGAGTCTCTCAGGGCATATATGAGATGGACACGTGTACACACGCGCACACACACATGCTGCCAGTTCCTGTGTCGTACACGTAACTGCGCGCACAGGAAAGGCTACATACCGTGCTGTCCAGGGATTCCAGCAGAACCTATGCCTGGGATCCACCAGGCTTGAGGAAGTGAATCTCAGGAAGCGTAATGTAGAAAAGTTAACCCCCAGCTGTGAAGTCCACTTAGAAAAACTAGGTGAGGAGAAACCAAATTATGTTGACTGTTCACAGCACGTGAAGCAGCCAGGCTGAGACATGGTCCTGCTGGCAAGTGGGAATGTTGTCAGGGACTGTTCCCTGCAGCATCCTCTCCTGGGAACAGCACCTCCAGCCTACCCAGGGCCTTCCTGGGTCTGTTTTGAGCACATGTGCCAGGTTTGGAGAAAGGAAGGGAAAACCAAACAGTTGGGAAACCTTTCAGTTTTAGCTTTGTTTTCTTTTTCTATCCAGCTTTACGAGATTATGCTTCAAGTTTCAAAAGGGTTATACTTTTCTCTCAATAACAACAAGGGCATTTAGAGGCATTAATTCACTGGATTTCAATTCTGTCTTTCTCTCCAGAAAGAGAAGAAGACTGGACTACTGAAGCTTCTAGCCGGAGCGTCCACCAAGAAGAAGTCTCGCTCCCCACCATCCATCTCTCCCACCCATGACCCCCAGCTGGCAATAGACGCCTCACTCCAGGGTGCAGTGGGGCCTGAGGTGTCCTCGTTGTCCATCCATGGCCGGGCAGGGTCCTGCCCCATAGAGAGCGAGATGCAGGGCGCGATGGGGATGGAGCCCCTGCACAGAAAGGCGGGCTCCTTGGATCTGAACTTCTCCTCATCCCCTTCCAAGCAAGCCCTTCTCTCCATGGCTGCCATCCGCCCTGAACCCAAGCCGTTGCCCAGAGAGAGGTAAGAGTGGAGGGTGGGCTTGCGTCTTCTAGGATCCTGTTGTGGGTTGGTCTCTGAGGTCTGGAGTCACTTTTGGGAAGCAGGAACAAACGGGGATTTTTCTGAAGATTAAACTGACCAGATATCCTTCGCTAGCTACATCGACTCAGCTCATGAGCTCAATCATGAGCATCGGATAAAACAAGCTTGGGAATGAATGGGAGCATATTTCATTTTCTGAACCCATTTAGGCCCCTGGGCTGAGTTCCCATGGGCCTGTGTGCCCCGCCCAGGAAGCAGCTTTTTTTTTTTAATAACTTTTAAAATTACAGTTCACATACAATACTATATTAGTTTCAGGTGTACAACAGTGATAAAACATTTATATAACTTACAAAGTGATCACCCCAATAAGTGTAGTACCCCTCTGACACCATATATAGTTATTTCAATAATATTGACTATATTCCCTATGATTTACTTTACATCCCTGTGACTATTTTGTAACTACCAATTTGTACTTCTTAATCCCTTCTCCCCCTCACCCATCCTTCCAACCCCCCTCCCATCTGGCAACCATCAAAATAGTCTCTGTACTTTGGGCTTTGTTGGCTGTTCTTTTTCCAGCTCCCTTAGGTATAAAGTTAGACTCTTGATTTGAGATTTTTCTTGTTTCTTTAGGTAGAGCTGCATTGCTATGAATTTCCCTCTTAGTACTACTTTGTGTGTCTCATAGATTTGAGGTCATTGTGTTTTCATTTTCATTTCTCTGAAGGTATCTTTTGATTCCTTCCTTGTTCTCATTGTTTAGTCGCATGTTATTTAGCCTCCATTTATTTGTCTGTTTTTCATTTTTCTTGTAACTGATTTCTAGTTTTATAGCATTGTCATTGGAGAAGGTGCTTGATGTGATTTAAATCTTCTGTTGAGACTTGCTTTGTGGCCTAACATGTGGTCTGTCCTGGAAAATGTTCCATGTGTACTTGGAAAGAATGTATATTCTGCTCCTTTGGGGTGAAATTCTCTAAAAGTATCAATTAAATCTATCTAATCTAGTGTGTCATTTAAGGCCTCTGTTTCCGTGTTGATTTTTCTGTCTGGAAAATCTGTCCATTGGTGTCAGTGGGGTGTTAAAGTCCCCTACTATGATTGTGTTACTGTTGATCTCTCCCTTTATATTAGCCAATTTTTGCTTTATATATTTAGATGTTCTTATATTGGGTGCATAGATGTTTACTAGGATGATGTCCTCTGGTTGGATTGATCCCTTTATCATTATGTTATGTCCTTCTTTGTTTCTTATTATAGTCTTTGTTTTAAAGTCTATTTTGTCCAGTATAAGTATTGCTACTCTAGCTTTTTTCTCATTTCCATTAGTGAGAAATATCATTTTCATCCCTTTACTTTCAGTCTATGTGTGTCTTTCGCTCTGAGGTGGGTCTCTTGTAGACAGCATATGCATGGGTCTTATTTTCTTACCCATTCAGCGACCCTTATGTCTTTTGATTGGAAATTTAATCCATTTACATTTAAAGTAACTAGTTATTGCTATTTTATTATTCATATTTTTTATCTTTTGTTTGTTTGTTTGTTTTAACCCTCCTTCTTCTTAAAGAAGTCCTTTTAACATTCCTTATAATACTGGCTTGGTGATAATAAAGTCTTTTAACTTTTTCTTGTCTGGGAATCTCTTTATCAATCCCCTACTATGAGCTTTTAAATGATAGTCTTGATGGGAAAGTAGTCATATTTATATGCCCCCCTTGTTTTTCATCACTTTGAATATTTCCAGCCAATCCCTTCTGGCCAGTTTCTGTTGAGAAATCAGCTGACAGTTTTATGAGAGCTTTCTTATAAGTTACTAGTTGTCTTTCTCTTGCTGCTTTTAGGAGTCTCTCTTTGTCTCTAACCTTTGGCATTCTAATTATGATGTTACTTGGTGTGGGCCACTTTGGGTTAATCTTATTTGGGACTCTCTGTGCTTTCTGGGCTTGTATGTCTATTTTCTTC